TATAACAATTAAATGTATTTTTTTTTTCATGGGATGTTGGCGAACAGCAACCAGCACGACGGTTGACCGAGAGAATACAGACAGAATTGGAAGAGTGGACTGGATTTCTAAATGAAATGAATGTTATCGTAAATATGTTCCAAAATTACAAAAGCCTCATCAACGATAATCGTGAAGAAGACATGGAAAAACATACGAAGAGACACTAAGGTCACTCCTATGCATTATGAGTCTTTAATGTTTCTTGATATTGTCATTCAGGCACAATCTCAAATTAATATGGATTATGGATAAATTATACCAGAACTTCATTAAAAGGTATGATGCATTAAAGTATTTAGTCCCCTAGTTCATTGATGAGATAAATGATTCGATTCGAATTGTATATAGCAGACTCAGGCCGTCCGTGGATGCGCCGCAACCACAGCATCCATGGCGCCCGATGCGCTTTATTAACATTCAAACAAGGGTCCAAAGTAAAGATATTACAATTATTCAAGACCGGACAATAAATTAAATTTGTTTGAATCTTCATTGTTACATAAATATTTTCAGTACTTCGAATCTAAAATAATTGCAAATAGAATATGAAGATTTGGAATTATATATAAATCTTTTACAAAAATTGAGCACTGATTTTAAACTTCGCTTTGTAGATAAAATAATGATATCCCAAAATAAATTATATCAAAAATACACATAATATGTGTAGACAAGTTTTGAAAATGATGTAGTTTGGAATCATGAATCGAGTTGCGTCTCTCTGCATCAGTCTGAGCTTAGGAATCGTGAGAATAAAAATTTCATTTTTTGGTGCCCGATCAATAATTCAGTTCAAGTGAACAAGAGTTTAATTTTTTGTTGCAGAAAATGATGAGTGAGGAACTAAGAGTTATATAAATATGTTATACCTGCAACTGTTAGGAATATTTATCATTTTTTCGTAAAACTTCACAAAAATTCAATTAAGAAAATTACGGTTAATTTACTAAATGTTTAACTTTGATTTTACACACAAAAATTTTAATTAAAAAAATTGTACTGTAATTTACGGTAATGTACTGTATATTGTACAGTATATTAAATAGCTCAAATTATTCTTAATTTTTAATATATTGTACCATTTATAATTGCGATAATATTGTCATTTCTAAAAATAATTTAATTGACAATATCGGTTATACGAGTTAAGATATATTTGTATTTCCCGGCAACACTATTAATTTATTTGCACAATGGCGATGTCTCGTCTTCTGCACATGACATGAAAAAAGTATAAATATATAAAAAAATTTTAGAAAGATAGTTCTGCATTACACTTGATAGTATTTGGTGGAACTTTTCGCTATTAATTTTTATTTCGGCAGGATGTGTTATGTTAAGATTATACCCTTTTCTGAAATGCGAATTAAGTATTTGCTTAAAAAATTGAATGCATTAGAGTACACATTTGCATTGTGGAATGATAGACTTGATTTTCATGTTAAAAAACTGGAGAGCGAGTTTAAAGAAATTAGTGAGTATTTAAGAGAATACGAATGCTCCAAATGCAATTACGATGCACCCTGGTTAGCCGAGAAGATACAAATCGAATTGAAAATATGTACGGATATTTTTGGAGAGATTAATATTATCGTGACTATGTTTAAAAATTATAAGATCATCATGACCGAAAACCTTCAAGAAAACACAAACGAATGTATAAAGATACAACTACATGAATGGTTCAAGGAGTTGGATATTATGCTTGGACAGTCCGTGGAAATGCTTGAGCTAGTGGTTCATGCCCTATCCCGGATGAATGAGGAATCTGAAAACAGTACATATAATCATCGACTTGATTATATGAGAAATCAAGATATATTTTTTCAATGTTTCGGCGATAAGTATAATCATTTAATTGACAATTTCTTCAATTTCATTGACAATGCAAATTATACGACGAACTAAAAAAAAGTCATGAACATTAGATATATATTTTTGTATGTTTTCGTATGAAGCCGAATAAAATACATAAATGTATTAATTCTATATTAATATTTTTAATTTCCACTTCATCTCATACTTCATTATAATAATAAAAAAATATTACTTCTTTCGAAAAATGTACATGTATGTAAAATAAAACAATATTGTATATTATAATTTAAACAAATGTACCTGGAAAAAGTTAGTAGTAAATTAATATAAATACAGGGTACGTATAGGTATTTGATAACATCTTTTTTTCTAGTAATTTAAAAAGTTATGGCAGATCCCCAGATGACCAAATGAAAAGACATGCTATAATTGTTGCTTTAAAAGCTGATTATGGAGATTTGGAAATATCGCGGGTTCTGAAAATCGCTAGATCATTCGTTTATAAAGTTCGTAAGGAGTTACAAACCAAAGATGGCAACATATCAGAAGTGTCCAGGCGTAAATAACATTCTAAATGCTCTGACAGAATGAGAACGCTGGAGTTCAGTTATTAGTCTGATAACCCCTTTTACACTTAAAAAATTTAAAATACTGCCCGAAGAATGGGTATATGTAGAAAAACATCACGGATTGATCTGCCATCAATTTGCCTGCGACCCGCTCAACATTTTTCGTAATCCCACTTTGAGAATGATTATGATCCCAAACAATCAATGCGGTCATTTACAAAAGACCTCCTAATTCTCCAGATCTTCTTGGGGAAGGTCAATGAACAACTCCATAACACTAAACATTACTTGAAAGCTGCTATAATCAGAGTAATGTCTGATATGAATTATAATCATTTAATTCATGCTTGTCGACGATTTAGATTAGTTATTGATGCTGACGGTGGTTTTATTGAGTGATTTTTCAGAAATAAAGTTAATTTCTATTCTAGTATTTGTTATTTTTTTGGACAGCATAAATCTGTCCTCAAATACCCTACGCATCTTACCTCACCTTACATTACGTATATTCATTGCATATGAAAGATTGTGTTATTATCAATTTATCGTATTGAAAAACAATTAAACCATTTAGACGTTATTATTTGTGTAGTTCAGGGTAAAAATAAACGCTTTAATTCTATTTCGAATAAATAAATATAATTAGGAATAAAGATAAAACACAATAATAAGGTAATACTCATAAAATAAATGTTTAACATTTAGGGTGATCTCTAAATTTATTGCTTTAGTTTGAACCTGCTTTCCGTTAGCATAACTCTTTTCTCATGGTCACTTGTAAGGAAATCTTCTCTGCGTATTTATTTATCTCTGATTTATAAATTAAAGGTATTTTTAACAAGTAATAAATAATTTTCTTGAGCAAATTAGATTTCGAGCCCTAGATTCAATATTTCCTTGCTGCGAGCCTGGTATAGTTTATAGTGTGGTTTCTCAATTATTTTAGGTTTGCGGCGCCCTTTATATATAAGAATTATTCCACGGCGTCTCAGGGCAAAGTATTGGGCAAACTTTATGTTAATATATCATAATTTTCGCGGCGTCCCTGTAGTACAGCCGCGGGATACGAGTCTAATTCAACTTGTTTTAATTTCCCAGGATTTACGAGAAAATTAATTTTAAATTTACCGTTTCGCGAAAAAAAATACACTTTACTAATTAGGGTAAATAATATTCAACATAATTTTTTTTCCTTTTTTGCAGAAAATAAGAGTTAAATAATGAGCTGTATTTGATATTACTTATGATATTACATAAAATTTTATTAAACACAGCAGCATGCATTTAAAAACATTTAGTAATTAGTTAAAGGGTATTATACAAATATTAATATACACATAAGTAAGCATAACAATACATAAGATATATTTCCATAATTACGTTATTTATAGCTTCGTACAACAATTATTATATTGCATTTTGATCCATTACATATATTATATAACAAAGACAAATGAGACCGTCCGATGCTTATAATTATCAACAAATAACTGCATAACATTCTAAACAAAATGCAAACACACACGCATGCGCACATATAACAATCATTTGTAGTTTGAATCGAATAGAGGTACAAAATCTAAAAATCTACAATGGTTCATGAAAATATTTTCGTATCAGTTGATTTATCTACTTGTTTTCATTTCATTTGAACTACGTCACAAACCTTGGATTTAACTAATTAATTATTTTTTAGTAACATTACACATTATTGGTTATTATTAAAATTTGTGAAAGAAACATACACAGGATGTTTAGCAATAGTAAATTTCGTAACAGAAAATAAAAAATATATGCTCCACCATCGTTTGAAACTAACTGAAGTGTTACTTGCAGAAATCTAACAATGTTATATAATTAAACTTCATATTTAGCAAATCACCCTGTGTAATAAAGTTATTTTCGTATTGTAGATCACATTTAACGGAAGGTTAATCTCCGTTTCTTGTATGATTGATTCATTTGTATGCTGATTATATTTCTGTTTTAAACAATTAGCATATCGTAGTTACAGGCACAACAATTTATATTATACACCTTTAGTACTATAGTTACATAATATCTAATAACACTATTCTTTATATCAATATGATTTGTATAGAATTTAATTAAAATTTTGAATTTGTTTTTGCTTGCAGGAGTAATTGTTTTGCGAGCAAACCAGATGATTTCAATTTAATTTTATAAATTATCAATTTATGTATCAGTTGACTTTTTTGAAATTATATATATTTATTTTGTTCTTTTTATTTCTCTATATGTTTTTTCTTTGTACGGCTGATGCAAGAAACATTATTATTATTATTTTTATATATTATAATTCAAATGATATAAGAGCAAAACAATCCCTTCTGAAAACAAAACTATAATATTTGATATAGCGCCAATGCATTAATTACTGCAGATGTGTACAATGGACAAATATCAAAATTTTATAATATATATATATTGAGAGATCAAATCTTGATTAAGAAAATAAAAATAATACGAACAGACTTTTCTATATTCTATTAGTACAAAAAATATAAAATTTATAAGTATATATAAATATTTGTTATTTATTAAATCCTCTTTAAGATTGGATAACTTTGAGTACGTTTATATTTCTATATATACAAGTACTTTGTTGTTTAATACACACTCATTCTTACAGTCAGATTAGTTATGATTGTTTTATTTACCTTTATATTTAAATAACCACCAATAAAAATTGGTTATATTGATAAAAACATAGTTAGAGTTCGCAGTCCCTCCAGAAAAAATTGCTCTGCTTTTTTTTAGCTAGAATAAATCTTAGAAAAATATGTTCTCTATAATATTCATTATTTTCATTTCGAAGAGATGTTTTCTTTCCAACTACTTTCTATCAACATACCCAATCGCGCTACCAACACCGATTATTCATTCACTTATAGTTACAATGTTAGTAAGCCATTACATTTTTTATATGGGCCTAAACAGATTATTCCACGTTTACAAAGAACAAAATCAACAGGCTCTTTTTCTGGTTTTCTCACATTAGCACACCGTTATGCTATAAATTATTTGTACTTACTGTTCAATTATTAATGTGGTCCTATTGTAGTAACAGTAAATTTGCATTATATAAATTAGTGTGTATATGTATATGCTGCGCACTTTTTATATTACAATATAATTCATTCTTTTCTTTCAGTCGCATCTCTCCTTTATCTTTGGATACATTTGGTTCAGATAAGAGAAGTAGGTTGATTTATCATTTTTTTTTAACTGTAACTGAATCCCAATAAATTATACTCAACTTATTTGTTGCATTTTAAAATTACAAGTAAAATCAAAAGAATATAATTAATGTGCATAACTTTTCTTTTTCTGTAAGTTAATGATTTTTGTACAGGAAAGACCGTATATTAAGTAAATATGCTCCATATCGCCTACTAGCTTATGTATATTATACATCACGTTACATATATTTAATTAGAATTTGCAATGGTGTTTCAGGTCGATTTTAGGTCAATAAGGCTCTTATATATTATTGTAACAACATGTTTAACAATTATTATGAATATTATTAATATTAAAAGAACAACAAAGTGGTTAACTCTGCTTCATAGTGAATATTTAACTAATTTAGATTCTACGCTAATTAATTCGGCATATTCTCCATTACTTTCCATGTAATTCGTAGTAATTATAAAATATTTGAGTACGTATCAGCTTTATAAATATATACGGTAATGCTTGTACAACAACCAATATACTGAGGTTTACAATTTTAAACGTTACAAATAGAAAATAGAATGAAATAAAAGTCAGAGAGAATGTAGTAAGAAAGATCTGAATAGTTGCGCCACACTTCCTGAAACTTTCATATTGCGTAACAAAATATATGGGAAGCGTCGATTTTGTATGTACAATCCGTATTTGCTTTTGTATCTTTGGCCGTTATCATTTTGCGGTCCTAGAACAACAGGAAGGAGACTCGGGTCCTGCGCGAGTCTCCCTTGTTGCGCCGGGACATCCCCATTTGTCATAAGCTCTGGTCCGAGCCTGTCGCCCCGCCGCCCTTGATATCACCCATTCCGCCACTTCCGCTCGACGCTTCACCGCCGCTTCCTACGCCTCTTCCGCTTCCACCACAGCCGCTGTTGAATTCTAACTTGTACTAAAATCAAATGAAAACGTATTATTATTCAATATCTTGTATTAAATATTTTATTGTTAGTTAATATTGCACGCACATACATGTAATTAAAGACTTTTGTTATTAATAAATTTTAACGGTTACGAATTGCCACTAACATACAAATATTAAAGGTATGAGCTTGAGTTTGAGAAAATGAAGAATATACACTTTTCTTTCATTATATAAATATTTCAGTCTTTACTTCTATAAGTTAGCCATGATACAAGTAATCCTTACTCGGATCATGTAAGTTAGTATAAATATACACACAAATAAGTTTCTTAACATTAAAGCCTTACTGCCATAACTAAAGGGCATACGTTATACACTCCTAAATGATATGTTAGTGTATTATTTCAAAACATAAATAGAATTTAATAAATACAAAGAAATTGATTAGCAAACTCTGCAAATAACCAAATATAAAAAATCACCGAAATCTCCTAGGTATTGTGATATAATCTGTACAAGATGTGATCCTTTGTAAAGCTTGCGGGCTTATTTGAAGTGGATGCTGAATGCCATCTAATGTGGTGCACGGAAAACGCACCCTTTGCGGCATCGGTATACCATACTAATTTTAAAATGCGTATTCGATAAAAGTTGAAATGATAAACTAACACTTTACATGAGAATGTACTTACCTTCGTGGCGCACTCGAAACAGGTGGTGACAACTTTGGAGATTACATTCATCAAGTTTTTAGTCTCTTGTATGACGTTGTCGACTTTGGTGAAAGTGGCAGCTTTTCCGACGGTATGATCCTTAACACTAAATTGCAATCGTTGAACGAACGTCGGTACTTTGTCTAAATGTTCCAGTAATTCTTTCTTATTGTTACCACCAGGCACCTATAATACATAATAATTATTCACGATAACTGGAACATAATTTAATAACTTCAACCTGGTAGCTAAATTGTCTTATAACTTTGTATAGTCTGTTAGCCTCCTCCGCGAAATACTCCGCTTGAGTAAATAAATCCTGAGTAGTTTTTAGTTCGCCTTCTCCTTTTGTAAATTGATACATGGAGAATGCCATAGAAGACATATTCTTGGCTCTTTTTACAATATCATTATTTTCCTATAATAACAAATAAATTATGATTATCTAGAGAAAATAGTTATTATGAAATATTTCGAACTTTGAAATTTTAATGATTTAAATTATTATTTAAATATTAAAGAATTATTGACATATCAATCATTCTATAAAACAAGAGACCTATAACTCAGAAAAACATGAAAAAATAACGATCAATACTCCTTGTTTTTACTCTTGATGCAAAAATACATAATAGAAAACAAAAAAACTGAACGAAACCTGCGATGATTAAATATGTTTTGCAAATAATATTACCTCCATTTGGGCAGTGCTCTCCTGCCACTTGTCAGTTTCTGCATCCATTTCGCTAGTCGCTAATTTCATTTCAAGGCCAGACTTAGCAATTTTCGCTTGTTCTTCAGAATCCAATCGCACAGCCTTCAATGGTTTTGTAGTTGTACCATGTTTCTAAGAAAGTAACAAGACATTTACTAATACTAAATGTATTAAACAAACATGTTGATATATGTACCCCAGGTCTCGGTAATGACATATAAACCTGTTTTTCTGGTTTCACTATGGTCCCATCCAAGACATCTTTAACTATCGTAGTTACATCAGAGACTAGCCACTGATACATATCGGTGAAGACCTCTAAATTTTCTTGGGCGATTTTACTTCCAGGATAGCCGACGACAGTTTTTGCAGCAGTAATAACTTGTGGACCGTAGACACGTAAATTGATTTCGATGAACCTCGCGGATACTTGAAGACTCTCAGAAGCCGCTACATGTCTTAGCAATTTACACACCTAGAATTCAAATCGTTTAAACGATGTTTTCAGTTATGTTACAAAAAATACTTCTAAAATATGATCGATTGAGTCATGGAAGGCCATAGAGGAATGATGTAAGTGATCTGGCTGATCTAAAAGTGCTTGCTCTCGCATAGACGAGACCAGATCTTGTCCCTGTTTAGTAACCGTCGGAAGTTCTTGGGCTTGCTGCAATGCAGCAGAAGCAAGATTTTTGGATAACTCTTTGGCGGCATTCAAGACGGCCGAGATACATGATTCCAATTCAGGACAACCCCCATCGCCATCGTAACCCATCTAGATAAAATGAAGATGGTTTTATTATTATGAAAATATGATGTTTATAAATTATTACTATATTCGCATATAATCCCAGTAAATGATCTAATTCCCCTCGGATGCGATCACTGCAATCCAGAATTGCTTGCCGATGTTCATGACTGGTATATGCACTATCTGTAAAATCTTGAGTCCGTTCCAGCACCGCATCCAAAGCACCGGACAGGGTTTCGTGGCACGAACCATCTAATTAAATAACAAAGTTTTAATTACCTCATTAAATACTTATTCACATCATCCAGGATGGGATAGTACCAATGTATAAATATTTTATCTTAGGATATATTATATATATCTATTATTACTTACTGACTTACCTGTATAAAATGATGATATTATATAATATTATTATTTATATTATTATAAATTAAACTTGACAATTATTTATATAATAATAAATATATTTCAAATGGGAGATGCGTAGTTTGTGATAGAATTTATCTACTCTAACAAGATTTTAAACATACCCAATGTAACACGACTCATTTCTAACATATGTTGAAGAGTTCGCATGCAAGAATAGAGCGTGCCTCGTTCCGTATCAGAATCCATCTCTTTTTGGCTCATCGGAACAGAAGACTCTGCGGTATTTAACACGCCATCCTTGACGACGAAATGTATTAGATCCATGGCTCTACGCATCTGGCAAAACACTGTATCTCTGTTTTCTCTAGCTGTGGTACTCTCGGGATGCCTTAATGTTGTCTGAAAATAAAAATAAACGCAAACTTATTTTGAGGCTATACGAGATAAATTGCAATATAACATAAAGCGTATTTAAGCCTTTTGAAGAGAGATGCGATGCAGTATACCAAATACGTTGCGACTTTAATGCTGTAAGTCTAAGCCATCTATAAAAGACCACAACATAATGTATATATGTTTCATAGCACACTCGAGACTGGATTTTATAGTATTTGGACGTTTATGTTTCTGTGGAACTTAGAGAAAATAATTGAGAATTATTTATAATGTAATATAGATTTATAATATTAAAATATAAACATGCTTGCTTTGTAATAAATGATAATTAACATTAATTTTCTTTATCAGCCCTTCCAAGTCACCGTAAATCCATGATACAAAAAAACAAAGAAAATTATCGGTTCATCTTCTTCAGTCAGAAAATAAGTAACTATAAACTATGAAATTTCACATTATCATAAATTAAAACAGTAAGAACGTAGTGAATTCTGATTTTGAGCCCCTGATTAAGTCGATTCAGTGATGAAAACAGTGAAGTTAATAAACTTATGAAAAATAAAATAAGGGAAACCCTAAATTCAGCTAAAAAATTAGAATCAATTTTCTTGAACCAGATCTTTCTAATAATAGAAATCGAAAATTCAAAAGAGAGTTGCATAATTGTAACCTTGTAAGGATCAACAAATCAAAATTACAGATTTTTTAAAGAAGATGAAAATGTTAAAAGGTATTTATTCGGAGAGTGAAGATGATATCAATCGAGCAAGAATTATTATATTAAAATCAATCAAGTGAATTACAAAAGTAAGTTTATGCTTACTATTGCCCTCCTTTTAATAACAACTGATGCTTATTTTTTTTTATATAAGATAGCAGATATATTGTTGAAATAAAGAAAGTATATATTATAGTGCCATCTATAGAATAAAAGCAATCAGACTAAAATGTTTACCTGGTACAGAACTGAAATCGATAATCAATTATACTTCAATACTGCCCAAACTTATTAATAAACCAAGATTATACAAAGGTTCACATTTTAATTATGTTTCTCATATGCATTAGTACTAAAAACAAAAAGAAAACAAAATCATGAAACCGTTATACAAAAAATATGTTTACTATTGGTTATTAAAGTCTTGAATCTTAGATATTGTAAAATAAAGTTTATTTAAGAAACACTGTTGGCACTTATATCAAATTTTCTAATAGATATGGAATGTTGTGTCATTTAATTTATATACTAATATTATCTACTGGTTTTGATTCTATCTCAGTCGCTCCACAAAATATTTATCATATTTTTAACGCGCAATAATTTGGGATACATTTTAGTCCTCTCAATATTATCATCAAAAGATATAAATATATGTTTTTTGCTCGATATCTACCAACATGTAACCTATATTGTAATCATTAGTTAGATTTTAAGTGCGTTGCAATGCTAAAGTATGTGAAAAATAACTCCAGGAACTTGAAAGCATTTCAACTCTTCGTAACAAAAGCACGTTACGCGTAAAACAGGTCCCGTGTTTTATTTTTTGAAGAAAGAAAAAATAGCAATATCATCATATATTGATCAAATTTTTGTGCCTTTTTGTTGTTATATTATTGCATTGAGTTTATATTTTAGTAATTTATTGTTACAATAATTTTTGTTTTCATATATTGATTTTGAAATTATAACAAACATTTCTATGCATTTCAAAAAAATATAGTAAGTTTTGGGTTGAGAAACACTGGGTTAAACAACACAAAAACCAAAGTGAATATACTCATAGCATATAGATTAATTAATTAATTATTTTATATAGAATTGTTTTATTTTTTGCAAGTAACTGACATTAAATAGATTATAATCACATTAAGAAGAATTGTTAGGAAAATTCTTATTACGGAAAACATGATGAATTTTCCTACAACACAAAAACCAAAGTGAATATACTCATAGCATATAGATTAATTAATTAATTATTTTATATATAATTGTTTTATTTTTTGCAATTAACTGACATTAAATAGATTATAATTACATTAAGAAGAATTGTTAGGAAAATTATTATTACGGAAAACATACAAAATACAGCTATTATATATTATATACAGCTATTCCTTTACGAATTTTATAACAAAATAAATTCTCATTCAAATGTAATTATTATTAATAATATTATTAGTATAATATTTAAATTAATAAATAATAATATTTATTGCAACAATAAATTAAAAACCAACTATTGCAAAGGGCTATTGACCATAGGTCTTTCTGCCCTTAAATTAATATTATTTATATAATGCGTTTTATTGATTTGTTAAAATGTAATTAACGATAAATATTATACTGAATAAAAGTAAATGCAATGTATTTTTTTGCGCATGTCAAATGTATATTGTAGTTTCATTGGTTTAATTAACTATAAATATGACGTATCTCTTACCTTACTAGAAGTGAGCAACATCATAGTGGATCTTTCGAGAACCTGCCTGGCGGCTGCCATCTGTGCCCTGCGTCTTTCATCCTTCAGATCGTTTTGTCTGTCACCAGTCAGATGTGCGAGTTCTACCATCTCAGAACCAAACTGACTAAATGCTTTCACGAATTCTGTGAAATTGTTAACCGATTCCAATTTGTCTAAGCTGCGCTGCACCTGAAAAGCACATTCAAAAGCATATGTTATCAATTAAGCTGTCTCATTAAACATTGAAATTTATTACTTGAAATAATAGTGCACTAAACTGATAACTTTAATTATGTACCTTGTTTTCTATCAGAAAAAAAAATCTATTTAGAATCGTAAAATCACCTTGTCTTTGGCAAGCAGCAATTGTTTGACAACAACAATATCGGCTAAAAGCAATACTCTGGTAATTGCGCTTAGGAGACACCTGGCTGCACGGACCAGCGTTGTTCTATCCGAAATAACATCTTCTTCCACTTCTTCGCATATCCTTTCAATTGCACTTCCTGAAAAATATAAGGTTTTCTTTCTCACATAAATAAATCTTAAATCAGGTAAATATAATAAATCATCAATCACATTTATTTTTAAATATTTCTTATAAAATACTAACATATTTTCGTAAGTCAATTCATCAATTCATGGGATGAGATAAAATATATTGATATTTCTAAAATCTCAATAATACAAATATTAATTAATTACTTTTGCTTTTATCCAATTAATTATCACAAATCCAATTCATTATTTAAAATTTGTGAGATAGATAAAAGTTCTAATTAGATTTTATATTCGTTTTATATCTCGCAACAATCTGCAAACTTTATTATTTGTAAACATATTAAAATATTAAATGCGTGACATTAATCAAATGGTTATATGTAAAAAAATATCTTGGCGAAACTAGATGTTTTTAACTGCTTTACTTTACAAAACATTAGATTATTGTCGAATTGATATTATTGTAAATATTATTAAAATTTAGTTCTTTTTTGTGTACTATATTGTAAATTTCATAGGTATATGAAAACATTTCTTCAAATAGTTTTTATAGAAAAATAATGAATACTGTATGCATTAATATATTGAAATTTCTAAAATATAATTTAAAAATTTCAATAATGTAAATATCTTTTTAAAATATAAAATCTACATCAAGTACATTTGGTAAACTATCATAACATTTTTTATTAATGAAATTAAAGAATTTAGACATACATACAATTTGTAAAAAGTTAGTTTTTTGTAAAGCAATTATTTATCTCAATGTTAATAATAATAATAGTTACAAATATGATGTTAACAAAATATTCTTAATTATAAATGATGTTGTCCATTTGTTGTATCTATTATACATTATATATGTGACAAATGTGGAATTTAATGATTTTGGTGGGATGGGGAAAAGGGATGTATCGATAAATTCACACGAACCAGCTTGACGTGCCTCTTTGCAAGCTTCGTACATTCCTTGGCGAACTTCCACATAATCATCGGCAATTGTTTCACCAACTGTCACGAATCTATCGACGGCCACGTTCACTGCTTGTCCCACACGAGCAACTGCCGATGAACGCAAAGCACCCGCTGAACCATGCGTTTCGACTAATGATGAGATCTAAAACAATAAATATATTTATAATATCATTTCTTATCATAATCTATAAATATTATAGATATTTTTATTAATATTTCTGTAAATCAATAATAAAAGTTAGTTCAATTACTGCAATATACAATGATAAATACAATTAATTCACGGTACGTATTACGCACTGGTGAAAATCCAAAATTTCTAACTAAAGTTATATATTATTTGACAAACTTAATATCGTAAGATAGTAAATTTATTATATAATTGTTATATTATATATATTTCGTTCTTTGAGAAGAAATCGTTATATATATGTATGATATTAATCTTTTAATTTTTAATAACAATATCTAATGTTTTAAATTTTTAGTAGATATCGTTTAGTTGAAATAAGAATATTTGTCTTACATTTTTGTAATTACATGATAATTACTGTTCCCGAGTTTGAAAAAACATTTTTTTATTTATAATGTGCAAAAATGCATACTTTATTTTTTATACATTTCTTATAATATAAATACAAATACAATTTATAATAATTGTTATTACACAAAATGAATACTACAGACCAATAAGTATTTGAAAAACTATTTTTAAAGACTCTACAACATATAATCTACGAAGAGGAACTCATACTGGATCACCAGTTTGGATTACTAAAAGAACATAGTACGATAAAATAAATTAATCGATTAATTGATGCTACCGGCCAATAACTGGAAGAGAAAAGATACAGATGTATTTCTTGAGGTGTCACAGGCTTTCGACAAAGTTTGGCATACACATTTGCTCTACAAGTTAAAAATGAAACTTCCACATATTTTGGTGCTGAAATCCTACCTAAATGATCGAAAGGAAACAAACTAAGCTGAGTACCATCGAATAGGACGTTCGACAAGGTAGTGATTTGGCCCAATTTTATATCTCCTATATACTGCAGATATACCAACAACAAACAAAACAAACATTGGAACATTTGTAGACGACACCGCAATTCAGACGATAGCCTCATATTTGCATCTCAGCAACTTCAAGAGGAGCTTAACCTGCTCGAGATATGGTTCAGAAAATGTATTGTTATACCAATGCGCCTTCACTTTAAAATGAGACACCTAGACACAAGACTGACTTGGAAAGACCATATTCAGTCAAAGCGTGAACAACAAGAAATAAAATTTAGAAAGTTGTATTAGTTGCTGAGCGTAAATTCGTAGCTGACTTTAAAGAACAAATTGCTGGTGTACAAAATCATATTAAAACCAGTTTGAACATACGGTATCCCATTGTGCACCAGAGCTTTGGAATAAAAACAGTGGAAGAGGTTGGAAAAGATTTATCCAAAAAATACATGAATAGCCTTGATTACCATATGAATCCGTTGGCGGTCAACGTTATGGACAACGGCTTGACAACAAAAAAAAATTAAAGCATTTCGAGCACTTGGATCTATAAATATAAATCTATAATATCAATATCCTAATGTCAGCAAATAAAAATTGACATTAAATTATTGGAATAATACACAGTTTTTCAATTTTAAATAAATATTCTTAAATTGCTTTTTCAATTAATTAAAATCGTCTTCAATATTCAGACGAATATTATTAATATTTCTAAATATATTTATTACATTATAAATTAATATGCAAGCATAGATAGTATTATATATTGTATTATCAATAATTCCAAATTATACAAATCATTTAGATTATATTTGGTTCGACAAATCCACCTCATCTGGTGAATCTACAGATGTGCAAATAGCGAGTAAAGTTGAACTCAATATAAACATATAGAAATATGTCTCTAAATTCTATTTATTTGCAAATAGATTTGTTGCAATGAATTATAAATATTTATTTAGAAACATTGTTCTAAACAATTAAATTACTATGTAACGGGCTTCAAATCTTAAATTTATCCTACTTTTATGTACTCAGATAATATATAACTTAGAAGTCAATTAATTTTTACGTAATTTTTTGTCTAATTTACTAAATAGACGTTTCTATGTATCCTAATATTTATAAATTATGTAATTTAGTTTTGCATTAAAGAATAATTGTGGGGTTTTTACATAACTAAGTATGATATTGCAAATTATATTTTATTGAAAATCTTAATCATTATATATTATAAAGATGAAATGAAAATAAAAATGGATTTTTAAACCTGAGTGAAAGACAATGGAGAAATAAGGACACATCTCGATAATAGATGATGGCGTCATCAGATGTATATATTGAAACTACCTGGCTGTATGAAGAGAAATGGACCATGAACTCAAAATAATTAAGGAATGTCATGTTCTTTATAATATTTTCTCGCAGCTCTCATAATAGTTTAAATTCATAACACGATCCAAGTCGATTTTATTTTATAACGTATTTAATTAAATAAATATATAAAAAAACGAAATAAATGTAGTGAAATTTATTAAAATATATTTCTGACTAATAGAACATGTGATAAAGTTACTTTGTTATAATATATTAATTTAAATTTATATAAAAATGTTATTATGTAGAGACTTGTCATTAACCTATATACTTTGGAACAGTGTTTTCTAAAAAGAAGGTTAGTTACAGTTCTCACGTATCTGTGCAAAAAAAGCTTTATAAAGTTGACTCATAATATAAAAAAAGAACGAAACAAACGCATCAACTACGTATCAAATCGATCTGCGCTATGCACTTTCGTCTTTTCAACCTTAGGCTATGTGAATTTCAACATATATCTGCAAATCTTCATATAGAGCAAATAACACATTCACTATACATTTTTAAGAAGCTTTATTTTCTATAATATAGTTTATTATATATAAATATATGCTTAAAATATGCAAACACAGAATTTGTGTTATGCATAATATTAATAGAATATTTTAAATACCTAACATTCAATGAATTTAGCCGATGTTGTATAGTAATTTCTCGATAATTGTGGCGATAACGTTTAATTGAAAAACATTGTGATTCAATCTTTTGTTGTATTTTACTATGTTATTGATTGACACGGATTTTCTGAATGGTCCTGAAAAGAGGGTCCGGCTGTATGGGACGAACGAGGCGCAGAATTTATCATGACTATTATTTTCACATTTCGTTAGGGATAGGTGTGAGTAGAGACAACACACAGTGCGATTTCGATACGACCTACATTTAATAATTAATTTCGAAACACATTTATCTCGTTACGCTCATATATCATTCCTCCTATAAAAAATTTTAAAAAAAATCCATGGAATTTATTGGAAGCACCCAATCACATTTATTTTCCGCTTACGAAATATTGTTTGATTTATATCCAGACTATGACAGAAATATAAAACATACGCTAATTTCATAATAAATTATATATAATTTATGACAATAATATCAATTCCAAATTTATTATAGATAGCCATTAAAATACAAAGTTCGTCAATACTCAGAAAACTTTGATATTTTCAATGAACAAAGAATACATATTTTATGCTGTGTGAATTTATAAATTGTTAATATATGGTTAAGTATTAGTTTAATATGAATTTACTGGACAATGCATACATTTGCAACAATAGATTTTAATAAATAATTAATTGATTTTTAGAAGCAAATTTTTGAAAGTGGTCCACAAGTAAACAAAATAATATAAATTCAAAGTAAATACCCTGAAAAGGAAAAAAATATAGTAACTCTAAATATAAATAAATAGAAAATAATCTGGCCGTAAGTCTATTGACCTAAGTCATTCTATCCCAATATTAACAAATTATGAAACAAAACATAATACCTCACACTTTAATGAAAATACATTTAATAATATTTACTGCAAGCATCCAAAGTTAACAGTGATATATTAGAATGGATGTAAATATTTTTAATTTAGAATTTAATACCAGGTGTTCCAAAACTTTTCGGTTTGCGATGCCCTTGATATATAAATTTTATTTTCCAAGTCAAAACATTGGTCTCAGGGCGAAGTTTATGTTAATAGTAGTTTTTTTCAATTTTCGAGGCGCTGCTATAGCACAGTCTGAGGGACTGAATACTGTACATTAGTATACATTTCTATAAATTCTTCCAATTTAATATTTATATTTGTTTATTGAATTTCTAGTTCTGAAACTTAATACTTCACCGGTCACCGTGCTCCCCATCCGTGGATTTTCTTGGCGCATTATTGTTAGTAAAGCACGGGCGGCAAATATCTAACATTAGTCATATATAATATTCGTGTATTTATAGTTTAATGAAAAAAGCCATAGTATAAGTAAGATACAAAGCTGAAACAATTACTCACCAATGCATTCTTATACAATATCCTCCTAGAGTATATTTTCAAGACCTACTTGACAGTGGTGGCGTGAGTCATCTAGGATCCGGCTGATTTCTTGACATGTGAGTGATCAATATGATCTAGATACTAGAGTCTATATCAGTGATAGCAAACCTTTTGGGAACGGTGTGGAAAAAAACGAAGGTTTACTCGGGTGCTGAATACGACTTCTATAATGCGGAACAATTTTTAGAAGAGACTTTAGAATCTAAACTTTAGATGAAGAAGAATTGATGGCATTAAAGAATAATAAGAATAAATTATGGTTATTTCAATATCTAAACATTATTTCAAATATGATGCAGGTAAAAAGTTAACTTCATTTTAATAAATCAGGTTGAACGCAAACAGAAACGTCGATCTCAAAAACAAACAAGTTGACCACCCGTGTGATCTAATAACATTTTAATCTAAAAATAAAAAAATGTTGGATTTTAGGATACAAGTGATAGCTAAATGAAAAATCGGCCTGATGTTTTATCAAAAGACGTAATGCATAGAGAACCCGTCAGTTTTATTTTTATACCATTTGAATGAAAGCCTTTAGCTTTTGTCTTGATGCTCAAAAACCCGAGACCGGACTGAAAATGGTACTACAAACGGATATCCCAAACAATGTTCAAACGATCCTTTTATCGTTTGAAGTGTCGAGTTATTATACTACGACAGTTGCAAGCGCCTATAACACCATATAATTTTTAAAT